AGGAGGAGGAGAAGAAGAAGTTCCCTGCCCCCCCCCAGCTCCAACAGCTGTGGGCTCCCAGGGGACAGGGAGAGGGACGGCAAAGCGGGGCTGCTTTCTGCTCCCTCTTCTAAGGCAACAATTTCTACAGATTTGGGAAAGAATCCTTATTACCTACTGAGGCCGGAAATCCGTACCCGGGGCTCCGGGCACCCCTGCCCTGGGGATGTCCGACTCGAGAGGGGCTGTGTCGCTGGGGTGGAGGAGAAGCGAACACAATCTTTATGGAGCCCAGGTCCCAGCCTGTCTGGAGTATCTAACCAGGGGCCTCACCGTTCGCGGTGCCGGAGCCGCGTCTCCCCTCACCCCTCCCGCCCCCCGCCCCAGGCCTGCGCCCCGCACTCACTCCGGCGCCCTATCTCCGCGCGTCCCTCGCCGGGCCAGCTTCCCGCGTCGGGTGCGCGCTATGGAGACGGCTGCCAGGGGCGGTCGCAGCGAAGGGCGGAGGTGGAGCCGGAGGGAGAAGAGTCGGGGGCTGGAGGAGGAGGGGTGGGGATGGCGGCAGGAAGGATCATGTTCCAAGGTTCGCAGGGACTCGGCCTTGGACCTGGAAAACTCCAGGTGTCCTCGCTGCGGGTCAGGGCGCCAATGGCACTGCGAGGGATGAGGTCTAAAAGGGACAGAAGCTGGGGACCCGTATCCTTGGTCATCAGTGGGGCATTACCGGGCAAGGGGCAGAAGTTTCGGAAGGATGGATAAATGTCTGTTACTCGCCTGCGCGAGGTCAGCTGTGGACCGCACCCGAGCCCCTATCACGGTTTCCCAGAGAAACCGAGTTATACATGGTGGTTACATCCCACAGCAACAAGCAGAAACCAGTGTGAGAGGACTCTCCTGTCCACTCCAGAGATTTATTTTTTCTTTTCTTTTCTTTGCGATTTTTTTCCCTCCCCAATCACAGGAGGGCGCCAGGATAAAGGAGGCAGCTCAGAGGCTGGGCCAGGAAGTTCTTCTGGGGAATACGGAGGAAAGAGATGCAAAAGTCTTTGGCGCTTTCGGAAGACGTGGATGGGGGAGAAAAAGAGATTTTAAGAAATCTTGCTGTGGGCAGTGGCTTTGGGGCTTGAAAATTTAAGGATTGGGGGCTCCCAAAGATATTCATGCCCCAATCCATGGAACCTGTGAATATGGTACCTTACATTGCAAAAGTGACTTTGCAGGTGTGATTAAAGTTGCAGACCTTGAGACAGGGTTGTTATTCTTGATTATCTGGGTGGGGCCAATCTGATCGCCTGAGTCTGAAAACATAAAGTCCGGAAACTTCCCCGCTGTGACAGAGAGAGGTGTGATGAGGAGGAAGGTCAGAGAGATGCAAGGAGAACTCAACCAGCTGTTGCTGGCTCCCAGGATGGAGGAAGGGGACATGACCCTCTAGAAGCTGGAAAGGTGTGGAAATGGATTCTCTCGAATCTGCATAAAGGAACCCTGCTGACACCTTGATTTTAGTCCAGTGGCTCCCATGTGGGACTTCTGACCTCTAGGACTGTCAGATAATAAATTCCCTCCCTTTCTCTCTCTCAGTATAGAATAGGTTCTTAATAAATGTTTAATGAAAGAATGAATAAATAAATTGGATTAAATGGATTCACAGGAAACTGCAAATTGAAAATAGTCCTATAACTTCTCCACACTGGCTGTAGTTTTTTCAGGGTATATTTTAAACCCACATGGATCTAATTTGGCACAAAGTGATCAAAGTGGCAGGGGAGGTCAAGGAGGGCAAGGAGGAATCCTCTCTTTGAACAGACATGACTTTCCAATGAGTCAGCACCCCTGGGTTATTTCTGCTTTGTGCAGCCTCTTCTCTTCCCCTGTTGGGCCCTAGTCCCACTTCCTAAGACATAACCAGAGGCTGAGTGAGGGAGGAGAAGTCTGGAGTAAAATGAGGAAGTGTACTTACAGGTCACGGACTAGGACTCAAACAGATGCTTGGGGAGCAGAGGATGATGAGGAAGGCCAGAGCCCAAGAGGATAGGGACAGAACCAGGGTCAGAAACTAAATAGATCATCAGAGACAAGATGAGGAGTCCCTGTGCACAGTGGACTTTCCTTCATAAAGGAAATGTAATGCTAGGATTAGGTTCAGCTGCGAATGTCAGCAACCCATTAACGCTGGTTGGAACAATATAGAAGTTCATTTTCCTTTCATGTTAATGAAATTCAGGGGTAAGCAGTCTAGAGCTGCCACAGAAGACCCAAGGTCATGAGGAATCCAGGTTCCTTCTATTTTATTACTCTGCCATCCTCAGTATGAGACTTTGACCTCATGGCCCAAAATGGTTGCTGAGCTCCAGCCATTTTGTTCCCATTTCGGATAGAAGGGAAGAAGGAGAACTGGACAAAGAAGGGCACATTCTCTCCCTTTAAGGACATTTCCCAGAAATCGTGTATGACACTCTTGCTTACATTCCATTGGCCAGACCTACAGATATGATCATACCTAGCAACAAAGGAGGCTGGGAAATACGGTATTTATTCCAAGCAGACATGAGACCAGCTAAAAATGGGAACTTCTGTTACTTACAGAAGAAGGGAAAGACAGATACTGAGCGTTAACTAGCAACCTGAGTCACAGCAGCTTTGTAAGTTGGGCAGCCTGGAGCTCATTTCACTTTGTGTGACTTTAGGTGTGACTCACCAGGGCTGAATTACCGGGGAGGCTAAGCATGTGTTTTGAGCTCCTGCAAAGCTGGGGAGACAAAACAATGGCAACAACAAATGCAGGGGAAGAATTTGATATTTCATATTTTAAGAAAAACCCTAGCAAAGTAGTTTTGGGAAAAGTCAGAACTTTGTTGAACTTTATTATCTGTATTTTGCAGTGCAGTGTTGTTTTGGTTTTCGATTTATGCATAGGAGTGAGGTGTTTATTTCCATGATCTTTTTGATTCTATACTTAATCCATGTAGTGTGTCATCTTTTTATAATCAGTGACGCCATGTGGGGAAAACTATTCACACTACTTGCATGTAAAAAGTAATTTAACCTTTAACGTTAAAATATGTGGCAAAACCCAGAAAGCATCTGTCTTGAATGCAAGATACTTCCAATAAAAAATAAGTTACATAGTAAAAAAAAAAATCAGACCCTCAGAATGAATATTGGTATCAGCTCACCCCACCTGCGTGCCTTGCTCCCTGCTGACTGCAGCCACCAGAATCTCAGAAGGGCTTTGAGGTGAATTTGGCTTTTGGGGAGGGAAGCTGTTCTGCTACTGGATCATATGCCAGAGAGAAGGCAACCCAGGAGAAATCATTACAGAGAAGAAAAAGGAGGAGAGGAAAGAAGGAAAGTGAGCAGAGGAGGGAGGAGATACAGAGGAGGGTATGAGGTCAGAAGGGGCAGAATAACTCAGGGGCGGTCCACCCTTGAGGCGGTGGTTCTTAAATGTCTCCACAAATATATCTACTCCTTCCTTCACAAGGCAAAACCTAATCACTCGTTCCTTGAGTGACTCACTTGTAACGAATAAAATATGGTGGAAGTGATGGTGTGTGACTGGGTCACAAAGGGCATCATGACATCCTCCTTGCTCACCTTGGATCACTGGCTCTGGGAGAAGCCAGCCACCATGTGGTGAGGATGCACAAGCAGCCCTGGGAAAGGCCCACGTGGTGAGGAACCCAGGCCTCCAGCCAAGGGCTGTGCTAGTGACACAACTTGGAAGTGGGGACCTTCAAATCCACTGAAGCCTTGGACTCCTGCAGCCTCATGAGAAACCTTGAGCCAGAATCACCCAGCTAAGCTGCTTCCAGAATCCTGATTCTCAAAAATTGTGTGAAATAATAAGTGTATGTTGGATTAAGCTGTGCTACAGGTGAAAAGATGAATGGAAAGAGTCGGGTCCCTGATAGCGTCACGAAGCCGCTGAATCCCCAGGGCTGCCCTCCTCTGGGTTCTCTTTACATAAGGAAAGGAACACCCGGCTTATTTAAGGCAAAGCTATTCAGATTTCTCTTACCCACAGCAGAATGGCTGACACATCTTCAGAAAATGTACAGACATTCAATCACAAAATTAGAAAAGGAAACCATGGGCACGTTTCACAGTTTTGATTGGGATCATTTTATTTAGAATTTTTATTGTTGACCTGTCTCTGAAAGGACATAGTAACAGCTGTGAAGAGAACAGGATTATAGAGGCCAGAAATGATGACATTAATCTCTTTGGGTTCTCAAGAAGAACAAGGGGTTTTGAACTGAAAACATGAAAGCTGGCCCTGCCGGCAGCCAGGCCGCTGGTTTCCCCACACGCACATAAGCAATGTTCAGGTGAGCCTCCACCCTCCAAGGAGAGACGGAGCAAGGCCATTCCCCAAACACAAAAGTGACCAGACGACGCCCTCTTCTGATGAGTCTGAGTGACTGCTGCCCCTTCACCAGTTACAACCAAGTCCAGGGCTCCCGCTTTCTAGATGATATTACATGTCCAGTTACCAAAATGCTCCCTTCTTCCTCGCAGCATCCAGTCTAGGACTGCCTCCCACCTCATCCTCCTGAGAATCACCTATGAGAACCCTGTGAGAAGTTCCTCCCAGTTCCGTCTCCTGAGGCTCCGGGGCTATCCTCTTGTGCAGCGGCAAGCCCAATAAACGGAACATCGTTTTTCTCTAACTGCAGGTAAGTCTCTGGTAATCTTTGGTCAGTGGGCTTTAATAGAAACCCCACAAACTAGAGCTATAAGCCCTTCCCATCTCTAGTGGTCCCAAACAGAGGCTTAGGAGTAGTGCAAGGAGCTCCCAGCAGACCGCAGGATCTCGGCTGCGGGGGGGATGCTGCAACTGTGGCTAGTTTGCTTGACCTTGGCCTTGAATAACTTCTCCCCCACACCTGTGTGTCTGTTCTTCCAGCACTGACTGGAAGGGTAAGAAAAGAACCGTGGACCCTGAGATAGCCGCCACCACCTTCCCAGGCCCACGTCCCCCATCCGAGTTCTTGGGAAGCTCCCCTCTCCTGTTCGCTCTCTCTTATCATCTTTCAGTCCTGACCAGGTCCATGTGGAAAAAAAGAGGCAAAATCTTCACTGAGGAAGCAGTGAGACCCTTGCATCAGGCAGGGAAGGAGGGAGTTTCTTCTTGAGGTATGCTTTGAGGGAATAGGAGGTTTTCCTGGGGTTGAGCAGGTCTGAAGTTCATCGGCACTAGATGTAGGGCATTCCATGAGCACTGGCCTTGCAGCTGTTTGCAGGTCTTTCTGAAACATGTTCTGATCTGAAAAGACATCTGAAAAGACATCCCCAATGAAGATTGTAACTAAAAGAGCCAAGGAACGTTTTCCAACGAGAGACTCATGGAGTAGGACATCTGCAGACAAGCTTCAAATAGTTTTTCAATGAGGTGAAGAGGATGATGATATAAAACTGAGTCTCAATATGGGTGATATCTGTGCTTCTCAACCCCGACAACACATGAGAATCAGCTGGGAGAGCTAAATGACTGCCCATGCCTGGGAACCTGTCACAGACCAATTGCATGGGAGTCTCTGGGGTGGGGCCTGGGCATCAGTATTTGTTGTCCGTGATTCTACCATGCAACCAGAGTGGAAAGGCACTGGTGTACGGAAGAACACTGAGACCGGGAGTCAGGAATCAGCTCTCTCCTTCCCCAAGCAAAGTGTTCACCCACTATAATTTTCCTCATCTGCAAAATGAGCAAGGTTGATGAGTGTTTCTGAAACTTTAATGTGCACACAAATCGCATAGTGATCTTGTCAGTATGAGATTCTGGTGCAGTAGGTCTTGAGTGGGACTTGAGATCCTGCATTTCTAAGAAGCTCCTGCATAAGGCCGAGGCTGCTGGTGTGGACCACACTTTGAATGACAAGCCATAAGTTAGTGGTTCTCAAAGTGTGGCTCCCAGACCAACAGCATCAGTATCACCTGGGAAACTGTTAGAAATGCAAAATCTTGGACCTTGTCCCAGACCTACTGAATCAGAAACAGGATTTAGCCACCTGTTTTAATAAGCCATCTAGGTGATGCTGATGGATTCTCAAGTCTGAGGAGCATGGCCCTGTGAATTCTAAAATCTCTTTGACTCTGGAATTCTCTGTGCCCAGTATTTTGGACTGTCACAATCTGGCTCCTTCTGAGTACCCCAAACTAGAAATTGATCAGCACTAGAAGTGACCCGGGAGGACCACCACTGTATGTTCCTTCCAAGCATTGTCCAAGTTTTAGCTCCCTGAGGAGCCATTCCCTGTGGGAACTTGGAGCTATCACTGCTTCCCTTGCATGATTTTATGTGTTAATTTGGTTGGGCCACAGTGTTCTGATATTTGGTCAAACATGATTCTGGATGTTTTTTTGAAGGTGTTTTTTGGATAAGATTAACACTAACTCCATAGATTTTTCAGTAAACAGATTGCCCTCCATAACATGGGTGGACCTCATCCAATCAGTTGAAGGTCTGAATAGAAAAAGACTAACCTCCTCTGAGAAAGAAGCAATTCTGCCAGCAGGCTGCTTTTGGATTCAACTGCAACTCTTCCCTGCAACTCCAGCCTAGCAGCCTATTCCATCAGATATTGCAGATTTTGGACTCACTGGGGCTCGACAGTGTAAGAATTGGGCCATATTCTTACAATATCTACCTACCTATTTATCTACACATCCTGTTGGTTCTGTTTCTCTGGAGAATACTAATGCATCTAGCATTTGAAATTCCTTTCAGCTCCTCCCCCTCTTTAATGCCTCTGCTTTTAAAAAAGTATCTCAGGGAAGGATATAGCTCAGTGGTAGAGTGTATGCCTGGGGTGCATGAGGTCATGGGTTCAATCTCTGGTACCTCCATTAAAGAAATAATAATAATAAAAAGTGGTCTCCACATCTTTTCTGTTCTCAAGGCCAAATTCTCCGAGTAATAGTCAAGCATTGGGAGGGGGAAAATACCCAGAAACCTAACAGATCTGCCAGCTTAAAGATCTCAGATCAAGAGCAGTAGACCAGAAGGGCCAGGCTGAATGGAAATTCACTTCTTTAACTTCAAGTAGAATCTCATTATTACTACACTATCTGCTGCAAAATATCAGACACTTCTTTTAGTAGCTGTTAATAAACAGGGCAAAGTTATAATAGTGAAGGCTTATTGTGGAAGTTGACAATTCTTTTCTTATTCAAATGAATTCAAATTAAGTTGAATATTCAAGTTTTTCTTTGGGTCCCACCCCTTGCACCATCCCAACTGAGAACAGGGACAAAAAATGTGCTTGGCCTTCCTTTGGGTGTGGGTCCTGTCATTGGCAGTCCCACCAGAACCTTAAGGAGTGGGCCGTTGGGCCAGAGGGAGGTAGGGGTGCAGGAGCCAGATGAAAGGTGAGGAGGATGCAGGTCAGGGAGAAACAATAAATATTCCCTATAGCATGAGATTCCCTGAGAGTAGATATGTTGGAAAGTAGAGTATGCTTTGAAACAATACCTCTCACGAGCTAGCTTTGATTGCCGTGGGTCCTCAGTACAGTCATCTCTCTAGGTGAAAGGTGGCCCACTTCATGGCCAAGTACCTGCCTATATTCTGTGCAGAATGGCCAAATACAACTTGTTTTTCATGGTCATCTTTTATGAAAAAGTCTTACAGAAGGGAGTTCGATTCAGATGAGAATCACCCAATTTCAAATATAAAAATAAGCTGTATAGTCCAACTTAATATAGAAATCTGTAGGATTTGATATGATAACGTGCAAGTTATTTCTTGTTTTTTTTTCTCAGTGCCACACCTGCCCTTGTACACTGTGAACCACTGGGGCTGAGCATCTGCAGCCTACATCTCCTAGGCTGTTCTGCCAGCTGGGTCTCTGTTGGGTTCTGCTAGTTGGAGCACTGGTGGGAGACCAGAGGTGGGAAGGAGAGAGAAGAGTCCGTCTTTGGGCCTGATGGTGTGGCTGTTGTTGGCAGGCCCTGATAGTTGCTGTTGTGGGAGTAGAAGTGGGGTAACTCCTAAGTCCCAGCAGTCCAGTCAGAGGAAGAAGCTTTTCAGTGGTTCTGTATCTTTGGTGGACTTGGAAACAACTGCGACAGTGGTTCCAAAACTGTGGCAGCAGATGGAGCGTTCCAGACTCCAGCTCAGGGTGACTTTGGCAGCTTCTGATATTTGGTTATCTCTTCCCTTCCTCCCTCACTTCCTTCCTTCCTTCCTTCTTCCCTGCAAATAAACAGGTTTTTTTTTATTGCATCTTTAAAATATCACATAGGTCTTATAGGTCCTAGGAATCATGTAGCATCTTGTTTCTGTAGCTGCACGGCTCTTAGATCTCAGTCATCAGCCTGCTGAACTGTTCCTTTTCCAGAGACGTAGATACCAGCCCAATTTTCTAATATCCTTGTTCTTAACTGTTGTGGCTTGCTGAATCAAAGCAGCTGAATTTGAGACAACTTCACTGTCATTTCCTTCAAGAATTAACTCTTTTTTTTTTCCTACAGCTTGAGATATTTAAGTAATGCCTGGCTTCATTTGAACCGGTGGGTGTATTTTTCACCCAAGAAATTTCAGATTTCAACAAGAGACTTATTCTTCTGAATAACAGCATTGGTGGGGGAATATACACTGACCTCATCTTGTAACGGAGGACCTTACCTTGTAGAACACTGTGATCGTGCTCTGTCCATGACACAGATAGTACAACAGTAGCCAGCTCCTTTTGATTTCCCACCATTTGTCATCCTGGAGTCTCTTCTTTCTAAGGAGACTGAATTTGACATCAGTGTGACGGAAATCCCTCTGCAGGATTCCTCTGGGGCCCGTCACAATAACTGTGCGTCCCTTCAGAGCAATGTCGAGATTTTCTGGAAGGCTGACATTCTGATTACTACAAATGGTCTTCATTGTCACAGTAGACGCGGCAAAGAGAGCTCCCTGCTTCTTTCTTTTTGCTCCTCCTCCCTTTTGCTCTTCCAGTCTTCCTAACACCTTTGTAAAAGTTCCCTGAGTTGAATTCCCTCTATGTGAAACACCTGGAGTGCCTTCTCTTTCTAACTGAACCCTGACTGATATGGAAAGCACAGATTTCTGAGTTTCATGTAAGGAAACTTAACTCTTATATTTAAATTGGCTCTACTACTGCGTGCTTAGCATGCATGAGGTCCAGTACCTCCATTAAAAATAAATAAATGAATGAATAAATAAACCTAAATAATTCCCCCTAAAATTAAGAAATATACCAAAAACAAACAAAAAATTTTTTAAAAAGTCAAGCTCGTGAAAGAAAATCACATTAAAAAAATAAATTGGCTCAACTTAATTTGAGCAGACAGTTTACAATAGTAGATGTTGGATCATTTTGGTCTCACCTATTTTTTGTGTTTTGGGTCCTTATAGAGAAAAGCTCTCAAGGGCTAAATAGTGTCTTTAAGATGATCTCTGGTGAGAAGCACACTGAGCAGAGGCATGGGTCTGGCTGGGAAGGCACACACCCACGGTGTGCGAACTTCACCTGCGGGGCTTGGGCCCGCATCCACGGTCTCTGGTTCCCTCCCCCACACGCTGTCCAGCTTTTCCTTGGCCTTCGTGTTTCTGGCCTCACCTGGAAGAGTTCTTGCTCTCTCCCAGGTGAGCCCACTGCTGACCCTCACACGTGTAACATTAGTTCTCAACCAGGGGGATAATAAAAAGCATCAGGAAGCTCCTCCTTACCAGCTCTTCCGCCCCATCAGCTCGAGGGCTCAGCACTCGCAGGCAGTCTGAACCTTGCGGGTAACAAACTGCTCCTCAAAGCCTGAGACCAGCCACATCCCGCTTCCTGGGTGGGAGGCCTTGGGGCTCTCCCAGGCCAGTCCGGTCATGCCTGTCCTCACTGAGTGGAGCTGAACAAACACCGATTTTGAGTAAGTAAGTTTTGCCTACCAAATGAGCAGTGATTTTTAAAGAAAGATATTACTCCGTGACTCAGTGGTGAGACTCTTACTCATGCTGGTGGGAGTGTAGATTGGAACTCTTCTGGCGCGAGGTGTGTCTGTGTATCTCAATAATCTAGACCTAGAAATTCCACACCTGGGATCCTACTGTAGGAAATCACTTAGATTTAGTTGTAAAAGTTAGAAGCTTTCAGCTGCCAGCAGCAGAACACTCAATGAATGTGGCAGCAGCCATCAGACATTACTGCTCACGTAACAAGTAGTCTGGTGGTAAGAAGTCCTGGAATTGGTTCAGTGTGTCCACGACGTAATGAAGGAGCCCGGCCTCTTCTCCCACTCTGCCATCCACAGTTTGTGGTTTCCCCTGGTGGTGCTGTCAGTTGTTGTAGCTCAAAGTGTCCTGTGCTCATGGGACAGTGGCCAAACAGAAAAAAAGGGAGAAGGGGCAAAATGGATCTCCTGCAAGGAAGCCTTCCTGGAAGCCTCTGCAACACTATTTCATTGTTCAAAATGGGACCACGTGCACACCCCCTAGATGTATCATTAACAGAGGGAGTGAGGTTGCCGTGGTGGACTTGGCTGCCTGAGTGACTCCGGGCTATTGCTGGCAGGGAGGGAGGGTGAATGGCTTTTGGGTAAGCAGCCAACTATGTCTGCCAGAGGGAACCAAAATTTCACACATCACACAAGATGTTTGATGCAGTGTTACTCATAAATATAAAGAAATGGAACTGTGGGCCTACAAAGTTACAGTACATTTATTTGGATGAAGAAACGACTAAAACTAATAAGGCATAGAAGCTGGCTTCTAACCAGGTCTGTCTGACTCCAAGCCCACTTTGTCAGTGGCTGCTTCCTCCTTGGGTTTAACAAAGGCATTAACACCACCAGAAGCAAAAGCAGTTAAAAATCCTTCAAAGCTTAGGTTACTTAATGAAAAACAGCCAAAGCAATACAGTAACCCCATTCTTCAGGGACTAGGGTTAGCTGAGGGGCTCCTGACACCCTGATCCCAACTGTCACTTTTGAGAGATTAGTAAGTCTCTTCTGAGACTCTCTGCCTGATTCCTGCCTAGAGACCAGAAACAGCTAGAAGTTAAAACAGCATGAGTTTAAGTTTCCATGGCTTCTGCCTGCTTCACCAGGTCACTCGTAATGAGACACCAAACACCTCCAACCAAACCCAGGGTATAAAAAGACTGATTACAGAAAAGCAGTTATTGGAGTATTTGGATAATAGTAATACAATTTTCTAACAATAATGGTAGATAATTGTCAAAATTAAAGGGATTCTTGTGGGTCTTTGGCTCAGGTTCTCCCTCCCGATTGTCTGCTGGTTCAATATGTACTGATTGGTTGTGCAGGTGGCAAACCCTACTGGCCTGTTACTTTCTCACGCTACTTGTCTTCTAGAAATACACTGTTCCCCCTCCCTCTTTTAGTTTTTCTATTAGCCAACAGAAGTGGGTGTGGACGAAAAGCTGGATGCTGCCAATTTAGTCACCTTAGTTAGCTAATTAATAGATCTGACTATAGCTTTGATGGGAAAGAAAAAATTGCTGCCTTTCTTTGGCACTGTAATCTGGTTAGATAAGGAGTATCTAAAATTTAGACAGATCTCAAAATTCACAGTGTATTTTCTTCTCAAAGCCATGCTCATGTTTACTTAGAATAACCACAACATTTTTCTTGGGCTTGCAAATGCCGTCACAGGCTCACTGTTTGCTTTGTATGAAGGGCACACAGTTAGACCTGCTGTCTGCCGGGCTGGGGTAATATCACCTTGAGGGCAATGGACCCACCCTGGTCATGGGTGCTTGACCATTTCACACTGGTACCACAATCTCATTGATATCAGAGATTCAGTTTTCTGTTTATAGGTGCCAGGCTTGTGGGGTGGCTTGAAAAGCAACCATGAGACAAACAGCAACAAATGTTTTGCCTTCATCCTCACAGCAAAATTGGAAGTGTGGTGTGCAGACACCTGTGAGAGCATCTGTGTTCTTGCCCTGGTCCTTCTGTGGTCTCTCATGCCACGCCCCACACCCCACTTTGGAAATCTAGTCTCAATGATGTGGAGGTTTCTCTCTCTCTGGAAAATTCCTCATCACTCTTCAAGACTCAACTCAAAGTTTCCTTCTTTCCTTCCGTAGGGCCTCCCCAAATCTCTCAGGCAAAATTAATACCTCTCTTCTTGGTT